ATAATCATACAGTGATGACTCAAAGGAGTGACTTGTTGGACCAAATTTGCCCAGGGTCCATTCAAAGGTCAGAAGTTAAATTTCTTCAGTATCATGAAAGAGATTTGTCACGAATGCAACGAATACTTTTTTATTTATAGGTTTAACTATTTTAACAGCAGAAATTTACATTTGATTCATTTATTGTGTGATTATTAGCAGCTTTTAAGTGAAACTACTTTAAATCCATGAAATGTGAAACAAGACCAGGAAATAAAACAAGCAACATTAAACTATTAAAACAATCGAACAATTATGGGAAACATTTGCACAGATAATTCAGTCAGCCTTTTGTGAATTAGAGAGTCTATTTTCACAAATCCAAGCACAGCCATGTATGCTTGATTAAAATGTACAGTACATGATGAGGGCCCTGCTAAGCATGGTCTTAAGTTAATGCTCTGTTTTAATTACTCCAGAATTCACCAATCCACCAAATGAACTATTATTTAGCTTCCAGTTCTAGTTCTGACTAGAAATAAAAGAATTAAATACACACATGACTAAAAAGACAAAAGTCTTAGATAAAAAACTATTTAAATCTAAAAAGGAGTATTTTTTAGTCAGCAAATGAATTTGGCATCAAGTAAAATCTTTTTAAAAGACCAATACTGAGTCAATTTATCTTTATCACTGACACTGACAATTATCAGTATTATTACACCGACAATTTGCCTTCCAGTGGAAGTTTCTTTGTTCTAAATATTAGCAGATTAAACTTGTTTTATGTTTTAAAAGTGTAGAACACTCGTTTAATCAATATATTTGTAGTGGTCTCTAGTAGGAATGCATGCCTTGTAAGCTGTACACAGGAGGGAAAAAACACCGGTGCGCCATTTCCAGGAACTAGAATTGAACCACATCACAGCTGAAGTTCAGACGGCAGGTTTTCTATCTTGGCAGGTTATCTTGCCTCTGATTGGCTAACAGCAACGCGACTCAACTACAGACTGTATTTGCTTTACAACGTTGATGTTTTATCTCTACAAATAACCCAAGCTTGGAGGAGCTCAGCTGTGTGGTGAAGCTGCTAATGCTAACAGTTAACTTTTGCTAGCAGATATGTTCTCTGCTGTTTCCCGGACGTTAAAACAACAACAGACTTCCCCGCCACAAGTCAAGATGGGTGAGCCCACAAATGTGTGGCAGTGTTAGATCTGTCAGGATTTTCAAATCCAAGAGTTTCATTGTCTATTTTCTATGAAAGCTAATGCAGGAGATAGGTGTAGGAGACTATTTTCATGTTCAGCCTGTATGAAAAACTCAGAGAGACCGATTTTAATCCAAAATAAGATTCTAAAAATCGTTTTTCAGTGTTCCACACCTTTAAATATTTAATGCATAATGAATCTGTAACCAGGGCAACCTCAGGATGTTTTGCTTTCCAAAAGGAGAAAGAGGGACAGAAATGCCTTTTCTATCTGCTCTTATCAGCGGTGGAGCGGAGGACAGGCTGCCCTTCCTTGTCCCTGTGACTACAGCCTCTTTTAGGAATTTGGGGCCACTGTTACCATTGTGCTGTCCTACAGGAAGTACGGTTCACTGCTCACTCCCAGCATTCACTGGGTTTCCTGTGTCAGGTTACCACGTCCTGTGTTTATTTTCTTTGCTTTCTGTCTGTATCCACCCTATAGGATTTTTCCAGCATCCATCAGCCATACAAAGGAGAGGATGGCACTGTATCAGGTTCTGTAACAAAGTGTCAATTTTACATCTTGCCTAGGCGTACCGTGACTTAAATGTTGCTGACCAGAAACAGCGCCAAAAGAACGATAAGCCAGTCTGATAATAACATTGATTTTATGTGTTAAAAACTAAGTTAACCAAAAAGCAGTGAGGATCATTTAGAACGCCAAGTGTTGCAGCTCTGCAGGAAAAAGTCCCCCCGCCTCAACCCAAAGAACCCCAATCAATTTCAAATTAAGCAGTTCATTCATTGGACATTGTCTCTGACAGATAAGCTTGTTACACCTTGAGAAAAAGGCTGAATGAATGACTTTAAACTCCTCAAAGTAATTATTGCTCAGCTTTTTTTTTTCTTCTTCCCCAGTTCTCTCTTCTTCTAAAACAAACAGCTTTGGAAAACTTCGAAGGGTGTGATTGATAGAGAGCATGAATGATGTATAAAGTCTATTTTGCTGAGATCAATACTGAATTTCATTAAAATACACCTTGTGCATACGCCTACACACTCTTCCTGCTTAGGGGCATTGCAGCATTCCTTCTCTGACGCAAGCTCTTTCTCTCGTTGTACGAACACATCAGGGTGGGTTTGTGTCGGTTATGATCTCATACCAGCACTTTTAAACAAGGTGCCCCATCGAACGCTGAGTCTGACTGTAACTTATAATGATATGACTCGGCCTTCCACAACGTGTTCACCTGCATGCTAAACAAGGACCTCCTCTTCATTTACCGCTGTGATTTCCCCCAAGAGGGTAGATCACCTCAAATGTCCTTAGACCCACTCTTCTACATGCCCACAGTGATGACTCCTGCTCGCACGTCCCACACCTTCATCATGGGGGAGGGGGAACCAGGGGGAAGGAGGTGGGGCCACAGTAAGAGGATAGAGCTGATGGATTCAACAAAATTATTGTTTTTCATGAACATGTTTTATTAAAATGTTTAAGATTAATCACATTAATAGTAATATTAATAAAACTAATTACAATAATAATAATAATAATAATAATAATAATATAACAATAATAATAATAAAAATAACAATAATAATACAGGAGACAGAAAATGTCAATGTTCTAACATGTTTACAGATGTTTTAGCCGTTAGCTACGTATCATCTGCAGTCAGGGACAGGTAAACATAAAATATGCATAAATAGAAACACAAAAATGAAAAATGAGACTATAATGTGAAACCCAGCAATTGGGTACACCTGTTCAACTGCTTGTTAACTACTGATTAGCCAATCACATGGTGGCAACTCAAACCATTTAGACACGCTGACATGGTCAAGACGATCTGTTGCAGTTCAAACCGAACTTCAGAATGAGGAAGAAAGGGGATTTAAGTGACTTTGAACGTGGCATGTTGTTGGTGCCAGACGGGCTGGTCTGAGTATTTCAGAAAGTGCTGATCTTCTAGGATTGTCATGCACAACCATCTCTAGGACAGAGATTGGTCCGAAAAAGAGAAAACATCCAGTGAGCAGCAGTTATGTGGGTGAAAATACCTTGTTGACGTCAGAGGTCATAGGAGAATGGCCAGACTAGTTTGAGCTGATAAAAAGGCAACAGTAACTCGAATAACCACTCGTTGCAACCACGATATGCAGGAGAGCATTTCTGAACGCACAACACGTTGAACCTTGAGGCAGAGGTACCGCTCCTGTCAGTTGGGCAGCAGTAGCTCAACAGGTTGAGCAGGTTGTCCAGTAATCGGAAGGTTGCAGGTTCAATCCCGGCTGTTTCAAAATTCTGCTGTTGCAAAGACACTTAACCTACCTTGCCTGCTGGTGGTGGTTGGTGGGACCGGCGGCGCCTGTGCTTGGCAGCCTCACCTCTGTCAGTGTGCCTCAGGGCAGCTGTAGCTACATAGTAGCTCATCACCATCAGTGTGTGAATGGATGAATGATACAATGTAGTGTAAAGTGCTTTGGAGTCCTTACTCTGAAAGGCGCTGTACAAGTGCGAGTCATTTATCATTATCATTTAAAAACAGGAAACTATTCACACTGGCTCATCAACACTGGACAATAGAAGACTGAAAAAATATTGTCTGGTCTGATGATTCTCGATTTCTGCTGTGACTTTTGGATGGTAGGGTCAGAACAACATGAGAGCATGAATCCATCCTGCCTTCTATCAATGGTTGAGGCTGCTGTGGTGGTGTAATGGTGTGGGGGACATTTCTTGGCACACTTTGGACCACTTAGTACTAATTGATCATCGTTGCAACACCACAGCATTCCTGAGTATTATTGCTGCCATATCCACCATTCCTTTATGACCACAGCGTGCCCATCTTCTGATGGCTACTTCCAGCAGTATAATGCTCCATGTCATAAAGCTCCAGTCATCTCAGACTGGTTTCTTGAATTTGACAATGAGTTCACTGAACTCAAATGGCCTCCACAGTCACCAGATCTCAATCCAATAGAGCACCTTTGGGATGTGGTGAATGGAAGATTTGCATCATGGATGTCCAGCTGACAAATCGGCAGCAACTGCGTGATGTTATCTTGTCAATGTGGACCAAAATGTCCGAGGAATTTTTCCAGTACCTTGTTGAATCCATGCCATGAAGTTCATGCAGTTCTGACGGAAAAGGGGCGTCCAACCTGGTGCTAGCAAGGTGTACCCAATAAAGTGGCCAGTGAGTTTGGATTTGTCAGGCTTTTCAAATCCTAGAATCTCACCCTAACCTTATTTTCCATCAGAAGCTAATGCAGTAGATATGTGTAGGAGACTATTTTCATGTTCAGCCTGCATGAAAAAGTCAGCGTGACCGATTATATTAAAAAATAATCATTAAAAATGTTATTTAAAAGTTACACCCCTTTAAAACTCATTTGCTGACAGATTCATTGTTATTATTGACAACTACAAAGATTTATTTTCTTGTTAGGTGTTTAAAATCAATCCTTTCTTATGTTCTAATAATTTATTACCTGACATTAAGTCTTTTCACCAGACTCACACACTCAGACTTTGAGGCCTAGAAGAGCTTGTTGGGCTTTGCCAAGTTGATGTCTCAACATTTAAGAGCAAAAAAACCATTTAAAGCTTTATGTCTGAAGTTAATATAAAAACATTTAACTGTTACTTTACTAGATGGATCATATTTATTCTGAACCCCTAATCTTTAATTAATGAACCTGTCATACAGTTCTTAAAATAACTGATATTAAGAACATCTCGGTGTTGTTGAAATTCCGTGACACAATATCCTAATTAAGCCTGAATTTATTTACAGTCTGTTTACCAACCTTTTCCAAAGTCATCTTATATTTGTTGTTTTTTCTGACTTGTGATTTGAGATCGACTGAAGGCACCCACAGTGACTCTGTGTCACACCCTGTCCTGTCTCCCCATTTGGTTCAGCCTGCGTCTCTGTTAATTGCTCCCACCTGCCTCTCGTTTTCCAATCACCCAAGCTCCCAGCCCTCTCGTATTTAAACCCCTTCAGTTCTGTGTCTCTTTGTGGATCATTGTTTCATTGTCCAGCGTGTGTTCACTATTAAAGACTCCAAACTCATTCTGGTTTGTCTGCCTGCCTGCTTCCCTCACCCGCGTGTGGATCCTTGTATTTGCCTCACTCACCGGCACGCGCTGACACTCTGAGACCATTTGAGAACAAGTTAGTTGCATTTTTTATGTATTTTTTTATTTTTTGCTAACGTTCCAGTTTTTGTAATTTCTTTGAAAAAAATACGTTTGAGCTGTGTGAGTTTAGCCATATGGACGAATCGCATTCTGTCACAATGAGTAATAATCAAATGTATCAGATCTTACCATGAGGATTAGGAGCTGTGGAGCTGGGTACAGACACTGGCTGAGCGTGTGTCACACTTTTACAACTGAGGTCAATCCATAGGGTCTCTAATGACCTTCTGACTCACAGTGATGCAGGGGACTGTTCTATTCTGGTTGGACAAGCTGGTTCCCAAAGTCAGAGACTCTTTTGGTCAGTTTGGTTCTCACACCAAACCTTCCGTCAGGAATCTTGGCGTGACCTTTGACCCAGCTCTCACCCTGGATTCTCATGTCAGTTCTCTTGTTCACTCTTCCTTCTTCCATCTCAGGAACATTGCTAAGCTGAGTCCCATTCTGTCCCGCTCTGAACTTGAGACAGTTATCCACACCTTCATCTCCTCACACATATGGGCCATTCCCATCTGTACCGGGTCGGCCCGGGCCGGGTAGCGTAGGTTGTTTACATATCTGGGTGGCCTGGTATTTTTCCGGGCCAACCAAGGCTCATTCTCAGCCCTCTTCTCAAGGGGGTCTGCTTCAGGCCGACCAGAGCCAACACACCCACTGCTGACAGCAAATTCACACCTTCCATTAGAGCAAGCCTCTGATTGGTGGGTAGAACCAGCCCACATGGGCTTAAGACAAGCATGTGTGGAATCAACCGGGCCAGGCTGGGGCCGACTGGGGCTACCCGGCCCGGGCCGACCCGGTACAGATGGGAATGGCCCATTAGACTACTGTAACTGTCTTTTCACATGTTTGAGCAGAACCTCCCTGAACCGTCTACAGGTGGTTCAGAATGCCTGTGCTCGGCTTCTGACCAAGTCCTCCAAACACACCCACATCACCCCGCTTCTCCTCCAGCGTCACTGGCTGCCAGTCAACTTCAGGGTTCATTTCAAGATCCTGGTTCTGGTCCGCTGACGTCGTTAGGTCCGTTTTAGGGGGGCTTCAGCCTTCCTAAAATAATCACAAGCCCCCCTATCATTTTGGTTTATTTTATTTTTTCAGTTACCTTTTTTTTATTTGTTCACATCTACATGCTCAACACAATCACGACACGTGTAGTTGGTACATGAGTTGTTTTTTTTTAGTCTGAAACAGAAATAATAATTAATGAATACAGAACTACACCGTCGTACACAGGAAGTATCAAGAAAGGACTTCCTCCCCTTAAGCCCGGCAGCTCTGTTGACAAGTCAGGGGCAGGGGTTATACAGCAAAACCTTTATATCGATGAGCAAACCCTGCTCAGCGCTCTTGTAAGTCACTCAACATCCCATTAGGGTAAGACAGCAACAGCAGCACACCGTTAATATTTCAAGGTTATAGTTCAGACGAGAGAGGAAAATGTTACCGCACCGACATGCTAATGCTAACTCCGCTAGCATGTTTACATGCCGCAAAACATAATGAAAAGCCGCGCCATAGTTAAATGGTCGGAAAACTCCCCTGAAGTGACGTGATTAACGAGCCAGCCAGTTCATTGAGTGACTTAGTGCCACCAACTTGAGCGTACAGTAATGAGTCTGCACAAACAAACTGCTCTGCGCTTGTGTGCAGGAGCTGCAGCCCTCTGTGGGCTCAACTATGTCTCTGCGATGCAAATCTCTCCCTGCTCTCCTCAACAAGTAGCCTCTCCAACAGTCAATCACAGACAGCTCTCTTTTATCTAATCAAAGCATATTGCTTTACAGAAAAACACCCATTTAACAGCTTACTGAACTGCTTTCTGCTGCTGGTTAGCTACCAGTCACCATCCACTGCCTGCAAGATACTTTGTTGTAATTCATGTGTATGATTAGAGTGACCACAGCGCTGGACTGACCATAGGGCATAGCGGGAAACTGCCCGCTGGGCCGACCCATTCATCTTTTATGGGCCGGTGTCTGTTTTTTTTTTTTTTTTTTTTTTTTTTCTCCTGGCCTCTAGTTGTTGCGGACAACTTGCCCGCGCCGCCCCACGCGACGCCTCGTAAAAGTTGGTGGATTGGCCAATTGGTAATAATACACTCTGGGCTGGACCAATAGCCAGAGGTCTGATGCACCCGCCAGTTGTTTGTGAATCTCAGTAAACAGACAGACGAGCTTTACAAGATGGAGAACAAAAAACAGAAAGCAGGAGCGGAGAAAATTCGACTAAAAAAGAAACTGGCCCTTCAGGCTGATGCTGGCACATGTGTTAAAATCTCACAGTTGTTTGGTAGTGAAGGTTCAAGTAAAATCAATTTAGGAAGTGATGGAGCCTCAGCCCAGCGACAGGTTGGAGAAGAAAAGAGGGAGGAGGAGGAGAAACCCGAGCCGGTGTTGTGCCATAAATTGACTCGCTGCCAAAAAATGATTAGCCACCGCGGGATTGCGCACGGTTAGGTAATTGCATTTCTAGACAAAATTCCCCAGGATTTCGCCCTAAAACTCGGCATATCTAGCAATATGGACATTCAGAAAGCAAAGATAACCTCTTCCAGTACTTAAACAGATGTTTATCGCGGATATTAGTGTGGCAGTGTTTGTGGCACCCTGCGCGGGAGGACGAGGACGTGCTTGTGGAAAGAGGGAGGAAGATGTGGCTGCGTGAGCGTCCTGTCACAATGTCCCGATTGATGATGCGCCCTGGCTACTGGGCTAAGGAGATGTCACTTTGGCTGACTGGTTAGAGTGTATGACTCTCACCCAGGAGTCTGGGGATTGAATCCTGCCCGGGCACTCGTTTTTTGCACCTTGCCACATTAGTTTTTCCAGTTCGGAAGTTGTTTTAAGTGTTGCTATTTGTCTTAAACGTTCACAATGAGGATATATTAATCCTTTTTGCAATATTTCCAGCGATTTAATTTTTCCCCCTTCCTTTCTTTAGTCCACTTGACATGGAGCCACAGTTAACTAGTTTGGGGCACATTTTTACTTGAAAAAAAGTATTTAAAATGATCAAGCTTTGGCTTTAATGACACTGTGTAGGTTGCTATCTATACATTACGTTGCTCTATTTAAAAGTAACAAGATAAAAGCTCTTCAGCACATAAAATTAAGATTGTCACTTGCCAAATAGAGACTACACCCTCCTGTTTACCTATAAGAAATGCCTCAAAATATCTTTAAATTCTTTATTGATGATTTAATTGTAGACAACTAAAATGGCATTTTACTTGCCAAAAAGTGATTGAATCGCTAAGATTTTCATGGAGGCTAAAATTGACCAAATAAGGGTTTTATGTATTATCTGTTGATGTTACTGTACTCATACTGCCTACTGTATCATCAAAAACACCCCAAAAATGGCAACAAAAAAAAAAGAAAAAAAAGAAGATAATTTCCCTTGCCAAAAATTGATTACAGTGTCCTGGTCACCTGTAAAGGGTTACATTTACCTAAATATTACTTTATTTATTATCTCTTGATGTTATTAGTGCCATCACAGGACGCTGGGTGTCTTTCACATTCATAAACACTTCAAAAATGGCAAGAAATGATCATTTCCCTTGCCAAAAATTGATTACAGTGTCCTGGTCACGTGTAAAGGGTTAAATTGACCTAAATATTACCTTATTTATTATCTCTTGATGTTATTAGTGCCATCACAGGATGCTGGGTGTCTTCCACATTCATAAACACCTAAAAAATGGCAACAAATGATAATTTTCCTTGCCAAAAATTGATCACAGAGTCCTGGTCACCCATAAAGGCTTAAATTGGCATAAATATTACTTCATTTATTATGATGCTGGGTGTGTTCCACAATCATATTCGAATAAACATGAAAATATTCCGTCCGAATATCTGTTTCTTGTTATAAATATAACAGCAAGAAGGATTTACAGTTAAAATAGGAGAAACACGTGACTCCCCAGGAAGGGTCGTAACACCACTTGCCTCATGCACATAAGTGAACAAATCAAAGCAGCATGGAGACACTCCGTCTCCAACCACCTCTCAGGCAGCAGCCTGCACTCCCAAGTTCTACACGTCACCAGAACATAAACAACCGCAACACAATAAAAGCAGTGTTATACAAAATGGAAGGCCTTTAGTGTTTATTCTCTTACAGTAACAACTTATCAATTTTTTGGATGAATTTATTTGAGAATGTTTTGGTTTTTATTAATTGTGCAATAGAAAAGTAATCACTAGATTAATCATCTAAATAGTCATTAGAATAGTCGACTATTCGATAAAATAATCGTCAGAATAATCATTTTAAAAATAATCAGTTACCCCCAACCCTACTTTTTAGAATACCAGGATAGGAAGGATGGTGTAGGTTTACGTTTATTAGATTGATACATAAATACTACCAATAAGAAAGTGTACGTTGGTGTGTGTCAGAAACAGCGTAAGGCTTAATGTCTTTTCCAAAAAAAACATGGGCCGGTCTCCAGTCAAAATGCCCGGGCTGAATTTTTGTCCCAGTCCAGCCCTGAGTGACCATATTTGACTTCCAGAAAAGACACATTGCCCATTCCTAAAACTGTTAAATTGCACTATTTTCAGTTAAAGAGGACTTTTAATTTCAACATATAAAGTGTTTCTTCTCTGTTTGGTTAGACGTAAATGAGCCCTTGATGTGTAAAAGGAAGTGAACAGTGGAAATGTCCCAGGAAAAGAGGAGGGTTAATCAACCTAATTAAATATAATTATATAAAGTCCTCTTTATCTGAAAAAAGTGCAATTTTCCTGGCAGTATTTCCTGGACATGCTTTGATTGCATAATGGAGAGCTGTCTGATTGGCTGACGGAGAGGCTACATTGCTTTGTAAATTGCAAATTGAGCAACAACAGGGAGATTTGTGCAGGCAGAGATGGAGTTGAGCATGCAGAGAGAGGGCCGCATATGACTGCAGAGCAGGTTGTGCTCTTGCAGATTTATCACTGCACGCTCCAGTTGGTGGCA